GAATCATGATGCTAATGTATCAGCTCCTCTCATAGGCCAAATTCTCCAAATACAGTCAGTGCTCTCTGTGGGTTTTGCTTCCCTGGATTCAGCCATCCATCAAAAATATTTTTAAAAAAAATCTATAGTGAACATGTACAGACCTATTTTCCCCATCATTATTTCCTAAACAACAAAGCACACAACTGTTTACATAAGCTCTCCATTGTGTTATAAGTAATCTAAAGGAGATTCAAAGCATACAGGAGGATGTGCATGGGTTATGCTCAAGGGCAGATACTACGCCATTTTATGTAAGGGGCTTGAGCACCTGTGGGTGTTGGTGTCCAGAGGGTCCAGGAGCCAACCCCCCAGGGATACTGAGGGATGACTGTAGAAACACCAATTACATACAAGTTGTGCAAATAGTTAAAAAAAACCCTGCATGTGAGGGATGGCTACAGGGATAGGGAGGTGATGATACCAAGTAAGGTTTAATGGGAGAATCTACAGGTGTCTTTTATAAAATTCCTCCGATTTTGCCGTGTGTTTGATATTTTTCATAATATAGAAAAAAAATCCTATGTCTGAATGTTACACAAAACTATTCACCTTGCAAGATTAAGATAAAAGGCAAAAACTCACACTAAGGAAACAAGCTGACCCGAGAAACCAGGGGTTTCCGTCACAGGAGACATGGTTGCCTGTAGTCCGGGGAGATTTGTTTGGCCCGCTTATCAATGGCCCACAAACTAAGAAAGGCCCTGATTTGTAACATTGGCTAATTTTTTTGTGGGTGTAAATGCTTCCACCATGGCCAATTTCAAGGTACCCATGTGTGGGGAGCAACTGAGACTAGACTAAGTTACTGGAATTAAGACTTATTCTATGCATCTGCTCTCCCACAATATGGTGCCGAGGGAGCAAACAACCTCTACGCAGCTGCCTCATCAGTTTGATAAGCTGCAGGAGCTGATCCTGCTCCTGATTGGAGGAGAGCAGCGTACTCGGCGTGTGGGTAGCAGAGTTGGGATTGGTGGAAGAGGACTATAAAGGAGGAGAGAGACAACATGCACCAGGAACATCTGAAGGAACACCTGAGGAACATCTGAGCAGCCCCCGAGAGAGCCGGCTGGCGGTGTGCCACCCCTCCGCGGAAGCGGGGAAAGTGGCGGGGGGTGCTGCCCCTCCACGGAGGTGGAGGGGCCGGCAGCTAACCTGGGACGGCATCGTTCCTCTGCAAGTGAGGGAACGGCAGCTAACCCGGGAAGAGCTGAGCAGATGAAAGAACAGCGCAAGGTCTAGTGTTGTTCCTCCGTGAATGGGGGAGCAACACCCATGTGACATCACCAAACGCAGTAGCTCACCGCTAGATGTGTGCACATTAACTATGGCACAAGCAGTCACAGTGGCACTGGATGGAGACACGGAGAAAAGGAATCAGGGAGGGATGAGTTCTGGGTATTGGTTTCTTTATTTTAATTATCTGAAAGGCAGAGAAACAGAGACAGAGATCTCCAGTCCACCGTTTCACACCTCAAATGCCTGCAGCAGCAAGCGCTGGGCCAAGGTGCAACCAGGAGTCTAGAATTCCATCTGGGTCTCGCACATGGGTGGGAGGGACTCCAGTACTTTAGCCATCACCTGTTGCCTCTCAGGGTGTGCATTAGCAGAAGCTGGAATCAGAAGTGCAGCCAGGGCCGGCGCTGTGGCTCTCTAGGCTAATCCTCTGCCTAGCGGCGCCGGCACACCGGGTTCTAGTCCCGGTTGGGGCGCCAGATTCTGTCCTGGTTGCCCCTCTTCCAGGCCAACTCTCTGCTGTGGCCCAGGAGTGCAGTGGAGGATGGCCCAAGTGCTTGGGCCCTGTACCCCATGGGAGACCAGGAGAAGCCATGCCAGCCATTTTGGGGGTGAACCAACAAAGGAAGACCTTTCTCTCTCACTGCCTAACTCTGCCTGTCAAAAAAAAAAAAAAAAAAAAAAAAAGAAAAGAAACGAAAAGAGGAAGTGTAGCCAGGAATGCTCTGATACAGGATGCAAGCATCCCAAGCAGCATCTGAACCGTGTGCCAAATGTCGGCACCACCACATAGTTTTGATCATGCTTGTGTTTTACAACCAGTTCCCCCAAAACTTGCCAACTGGCTCTCAGAAGCCAGTATGGTGGCATCACAGGGTCTAGCACGGTGATTTTCACTCTCACCCAAACGTTGAGTCCCAAGTCCAAGTTTTAAAGGAGTTTGAACTT